CAAAAGATTTTTTTTATCCTGATCTGCTTAAAGTCTTTGTAGACAGCGTTCTGTAGGATACTGTTTCTACTTGTTGTTTTTCTTGACTTCTGGTAATTTCCAATAGCTGAACCCTTTTGACTTATTATGTTGAGAACCTAGGTCTGACTACTAATTCAATTGCAATCTATGGAGATTTTATATTTATGCCCAGATAAGAGGGCTCTCTCATCTAAATAACTTAAATCTCTAGCAGATATAAGTGTCTCTATAAGTGCTAATTCGACTGCCGGATCATCGTATCGTTTCCACTGCACAAGTGAAACTCATTTTTTTCACCAAATAAGGGACACTTTCAGTGTTTAAGCTTCCGGTAGACTATTTCTACAAAAGTCATAGCTTTGCACAAGACGGTTTAGGGAAAATATATTTTAGTCATTATTCCTACCGGCCTAAGCAGATCTCAGATGTCTATAGGAGTCTGGAAAAGCTGTCCGGCAAAAACCTTGCCTGACATATGACATGTCAAACTGAAAATGCAATCGTAGCAGTTGTGCCTCATTAGTTAAAGGGCGAAACGGGAACGGGGGAAGCACCAAATGTTGGCAGTGTGCTGATATATTTGACCGTGCTTGCAACATCCAACCCCGCAAAACATATTGACTAGTTTTTATGAACTTTGGAAGTAAAAACTCCAGGAAATTTCTTCCTGAAACATCGCCTAAGTTTTCGCCGACGTTAACATCCTCTACCCAGCATATAAATGCGAAGATAGTCAACTTCCGGCGCGATAAAAACGATTTCATGATTAGCTTCGGCTAATTAAACACGTACGCGCTGAACTTCCGTTGTGCGCATAAAATGTCGAGGCGTTTCATGAAAAGTACTTATTGTTGCTACCTCGTTTGTTGGATTGTTCTGTTAGCGCTCACGCATACACAGCAAAAGAGTTGCCAAAATATATAATCTGAGTAAGTCAATTTTTTGGGTCGGAAACTAAAACTTTTGATATAGATAGCGTATGAAAAATCTCACCAGATACTTCCACGATATCTCCAGGAACCAGACACTTCGCTTTGATGCGTTGAATACCTTCGTGACCTTGTCGGATAACTTTTGCATCATCAGACTCGTACTCTCGAAGTGCCTCAATGGCTGATTCTGCATCACGCTCCTGAGAATTTGGTTACGGATTGGCCGTTAAGTTACCTGCCAGACACCGACGATGGCATTCAGAATAAGAATAAGTAATATCACAAATGGTTCTACAAAGGCTGTGGTAGAGTCTTCCCCTTCTTCGAACAACGCAAGGACCTTCAAAAGAGTAAGGCTATAATAACACTTACGAATGATATCACAGCCGCAAGCAACAAAATTTTCACTAGTAAGTCATCGAACTGTTCAAGTACAAGCTTCCACAGTGGTTTTGCTAAACAATTCAGAATTCAAATACTTCTGCAAAAAAATACCTTCTTCCGTGGGCAATTCTATTTAAGAAGTGAGCGATATAAAGAGCATTCTTACCATTCGGTCCATACTTTTCACTTAAAGCGTCGACTTGCTTCTCACTAAGTCCAGAGTTTGCGGAAACATTTAATTCTTTAAGTAAGTCGGCGACGTTGCGGGCGTGTGGATTCTCCATTGAGGGAACCACGTACAACAGGCGGCCGCGAAATTATAAAAGTGGTTACGATGCAAACTATTTGTCAGCGGCGCGGCGTGTGCAGTTTTTATTGGACGCTCGATTCTGAATTACGATGTGTGGACCAGCATAACTAAATTCTGTGTTGGTGATCTTATCCACTTATTTTCTCAAGCTATGAATATTTGTCAGAATAATTCTGTCTTTTCTTACTATCTAAATAAGGCTT